GGGAAAAAATTAGTGATTGATGTTGTCCTTTACATGCACTACAAAGGTGTTATACGGGCCAATCGAGGGCGATACGCAAGTCATTAACACATCCATTAACTTCAAGGCGAAGATTTGTTCAGCAGAAAATGTGGTGAACCACAGGACAGCCTCTAATTACTTTTCCGGCTCCCAGTCATTCTTTTGGCTCATTCCGGACTCACACAAGCATTTTCCTGCCCAAGAAAACACGCCACAGCAAATTTGTCGCGATCGATTCACGGAGGCGGTGATACAGTTACGAGTCCTAAATATCGAACTAAAAATCTTAAGAAAAACTTCTTTGTGGGTATAAGTAATGTCAGGAAACCTAAAATTTAAAAATTTAACATGATAATAAAGTTATTCGCATTAAAAATTTATATAAAAAGATGAGACCTACGAACTCAGAAGTAGAGGAAAAATAAAAAATTAATGAAAGAATGAAAAAAAACACGAATATTACCTATAAATTCATTTAATATAAAATATAATGTTAAAACCAATAAAATAGTTCAATAAAAATTTTTTTAAGTTCAAACTTTTTAGAGCTAAAAATCAATTCTATGACGATTTCATACGAAAATATCTGAAATTTTTCAAACGTAGTTTTTTGGTCGACGTAGTTTTAACTACAAAAATAATTGCATACTTCGACGCACCATGTGTTTGCACAAAATTTTATTTCAGTTCTACATCACTTTTCAATAAATGCATTCAAGTATACGGTATTGAGAATAACTCCTTGAAAGCAAACAACAACATAAATTTAAACAGCCAGTTGAATTGAAACCATTTTTAGAATGACATTTTAAATTTATTTAATGCATTCATTTTAAAATATCAATATTTAATATAAACCGATTTTTTTAATGCATTGTATTTATACGTTTTTTCAATTTGCCTCAGTATTCAGTGACTAAAGATTTAATTTTGATATTAATTTTGAGGAGTTACCGACGAATCAGTCGGATAAGAAAATGTTTCTTAAAATTTCAATACCAATGGTGTGATGATTTCAGAAAATGAATCGGGATATCAATTAAAGTTTAAATTGAAGATTATGGATGAAAGGAGTGGCAATTAAAAAATATAAGTGTGTTTTTTAGAACACCAAAAACACTGTAGAAATCAGTGTTTCTTATTTCTCTCTTATAGTCATGCCCTTATTTGTGAAGGCAATCATTAGAGAGCTTATTTATTACTTATCTTCATCAGCGCTACGTCCAATAGCTGGCAGGAAATAAAACACGCCTATGATCAACGCACAAAAGTCGTAAAAATTTATATATTTCAAAATATCAAGAAACTCAGTCTTATAAGAAATTCTAGCAATGTCGTCAGTGAACAATATTGTGGAAACAGACCCGACGAGACGTACGTGGTCAAGCACCGAGGCGCGTGTTCGCCGAGCTCGCGTCTCGACCTGAAGACGACATGCTTCGTCCCGAGTCACGTTCTTTCTTCATGGATAAAATGTCCTCTGGACCAAACCCTAGAAAAGCAACAAGGGGATAAAATGTCCTCCAGGCTGAACCCCAGAAAAGCAACACTCGACACTAAGCTGAATTGTCGTTTTAAAAGCTCACAAACTCTCGTTACCTGAGCCAAAGAAATGTATCTGTGAAAAAAATCGTCCGCGAAATGTTTGCGTGTTTTAGATTCTTTCTGATTCTGCAAGGAAATTTGGAACATTTTTCTTTGATTCGTTTTGTTTAGAGTTTACAGTCATCATAGCCTAGAAGATAAGACGAACGAACTAAAGCTTATTGCAAAACTTCAGGAAACAGTGTAATAGGATGCCACACTTCAGATAATTTTCCAATTTGAGCTTTTCAACATTAAACTTTTTTTAATTCCGTATTTTGCGTAAAAAATGTGAATTATATTTAATCTCATCTCCGTATTTAAATGTTGTTACTTTGAAACACATTCACTAAATTTCAATTATTGTTTGGATTTTAACTATTTGGCCAGCATGAGAGAACAGCAAAGGTGTTATCAAACATACATGCAAGACCTCATCTATATACACAACATTTTTCACATGATGTGTTAGTATATAACAATATGCATGTGCATTCATTTGGTACGTAGAATTTATTCTCACTTTGCTGATGTTCAATTTGCCTCTCATTTTTGCTGCATTAATGGCATTGTCGTCCAGCTTTTAATCGCACGAGCTCATTCACACTCGCATCCCGCATTACCGGAATTGCTAAAACTCAAGTGACGCCGGGATTTGGTCTAGCTTTCTCGTCCGGGATTATTCCATATTTGGAGGAGTTTTACAGGACAGGTACAGTCATCAAGGAAAGGAAAGACCGTAACTCGAGGGCGAACAGCATTTCCCATTTCCGACGAGCCATTAGAGACGCTAGGTGTGAGTAAGAGCTCATCTCTCTCTGCCACTTTAGTCCTCCTTTTAGTCGAATGCAGGCGCTCTCTTTGCTGTTCTTTTTTCTAACACCGTTTTCTTCGTTGGCAGGCTTTTAGACGGGAAATTACGCGCGTTAAATCACTCAGACAAAAGACGATCTGACAGCTAGCAACAGCCACGGCCAGGCTGGACTCCGTAGGATTCTCGTTGCAGGAGCAAGCGGCCAAATTGCTCCTTGACAACCCGCCTCGTTATCCTGCAATTAGCTCACGAACAGGTGGCTTCTTTTAAGCTTCGCTGACATGAATCGTAATTAAATGAAATAAATCGTGTCAAGACCAATTCTTTGAATGACATTCGCTACGAACATTAATTCACTTCACGAGGAGTCTTTCCACACTCCTGCAATATGAAATAATTAATATCTGATGAGATAATTTTAAAAATGTTGAACTTTGCTCTAAGGTTTTAACATTTTTATAATCAGTTGAACTATTTACACAACAAATATTCAAACTTTTACGACCTTTATTCACTACGATGGTAGGATAGAATCAAAACTCGTTCCAATTTTTTTCCTGACGTCAAACATTTTGAGTGCGATTTGAAGATTACGTCAAAAAATTTGTATCTGTGATATATAAATAGAGTTACATATGCCTAGCAGTGCTTTCTGTGTATTATGTTTGAATAAACTTCATTTAACACTGAGGAATTATGGAATTATTTACGCGCAGGCTTGATGTGGGAGAAAATAAATCCTGAATGACAACATTATTTAGAGCTCGCTAACTCGGTAGCAAAAAAACTACAGCAGCAAATCCGTGTCCTAAGCCAGCCAGCCGCAAGTGCAGCGGGAAAACATGTATTTTTTCTTTTGTAAAGCAGCTCCTGCAGCTCATCCACCTCACGCTTGTCCAGTCTTCTCAACAGGTCGACAGTAAAATCGTCAACGCATTTCCCACACTCTCGATAGGACTTTTCACCTTCTATTTCACAGTCGATTGCGTCGGGGAGCTATTCGGTGCTGGGAAGGTTCGAGGGCGCGTTTTCATTGTGCCTTCCCAGTGGCATCTGTCAGCCTGTATTGTATGTTTTATGCGTGCCAAATAGAATGGAATCGTCTGGAAGCAGCAATGCGACAATAAATGAAGAACTGACACGATACAGTATTACCAATCAATTTAGCTTATGTAGGGCAAACTAAAATACCGTACGTTTAGTTAAGTTTGTGTGGTCAGTCAGAGAGCAAGACCGCATGCTTACAGGATATTTTACTCATGTTTATCTGCACATTCGCTCTTTTCTTAAGCCCGCACTTTTTTAAATTTCTATTTCACCTAATGTCCCCTAACTGAAGCAACATATATTTTGCAGAGGCTGAATCGAATTATTGTCAAAGTGCATTGCAGATCAAAATTTTCAAAACTTATTTGGTCTCTTGGTCTCGCACTGAACTTCAACACGTTTCCTCTTAGCCCTACATTGCATTAATTTTGCTCAGTGTCAAAAATTGAATGGGCAAAAATATTTCTTTTAGATAATAAAAACTGATAGACTAAAACAATTTTTCTTGAGCAAAAAATACAAATCGTTCAGACTCGCTGAATGAACGAATACGATAATTCGTCGAGTTTAAAGCAAATTCTCCCTAAATAATTACATACTCATGACTGACCATTCCAAAACTCGATTTTTTTGTGTTTCAAATAATATCGCTGAATAGGAATAGCTCGATTTGCTCTAGTCTATGTTTCAAACGATTTGCCGGTTTGTGATGTTGAAATAATTACTCGGCAGCGAATAAAACATCAGAATGTGACAGAAATATTTAACAGCTCGGTGCATGTATGCGGCGCCTCTCGTCTAGCGTTGCTCGCTGCCTATTTCCCACAGAGAATGGCAGTCAAATTACCGAATTGATTCACGGTTCCAATGAATAGCGTCCATAATTGGGCCGAAAACGGAATCATTGCCCTGACATAAAAATTCTGAAAATGCTCTACGAACACGTTTCAGGAGAGGCAGCGCGTAGGCATTTCGACGAGTGAAACTGAACTGGGATGTTTATTTTTCATCAGGATTACAGCACAAAATTACCCGTATTTGCCAGAACAATGCGAGAAAACAAAATATTAGTACATAAATGAATTACTTCGCAGGTAATACTTTTGCTAGCATAATTTTTGTATGTGATTTTTATCGATTTTTTACTAAGAGATGTAGTTATGTTTTGTGTTACAAGTCTCATTATTACGACTTCGCAAACTCGCTTTTTCAATTATGTATTATGTCTTCGCAACTTGTTTTATTGTGTTTTTGCAAACACTCAACTTCATTTGTGAACGTATTTCCAAAATTAAACTTTAAAAGTACAAAAATCTTCAGGCTAAATATACTTACTAAAATCAGGGCATGAAACCGCACCGAGAATGCATGTTCGATCTCGATCAGAGTTACTTATTTACCACCTTTTGTCTAGTATAATGTACATACCTCAAAAAATAATTGACTCCGTATCCAGGATTCGGGCGACACGCCGCCCTGTAAGGCCTTATTTAAAGCGCAAAATTTCGCGAGTGTTCTCTCCTCGTGTCAGTTTTCAAGCGAAGTTATTTTTTGCCGGTGAAAGTCAAGCTTCAGTGAATAGTTCCACGCGATCAGTGATATTTCCAAGCTCAGATATATTTTGCCAGGAGGTACCAGACTCAGCATGGATCGCGATAACAACGAGTCCTACGGCCACGGCACGAGAGATCCGTACTTTCGGAAGAATTTCAGTAACCATCAATGGAGGCGAGAAGGAAACTACGACTTCAGGCGAGGATCGAATGGACGATGGGGCTCTGACTTCGAGGGCAGAAACTCTTTTTACCGTCGCCATTATTGGGGAAGACGCCCGTGGCGCTTTGGTCAACACTTCCATAACAAGTAAGACTTCAAGTTGATTTTTCAATCTTTCGTGAATTATGTCGTACTACTTTGATGATTGAGGTAGGTTTACTGCGTTTTTATTCTAAAATTATTCTAAAAAGTAGGCTGATACTCCAAGTAGGCTATGAATCTTGTAAAAATACAAATATTGATATTAAATTATCGTAGTAGGATTTGGTTTGTAGTATTCATGTTATATAAGGCTAGAAATGGTAGTCTTTTTTAAATTTCGCGATTTATTGCAGTTGATGTCAGTTTAGTAATATATATTTCGATTACATCACGAAATTTTGAGGTGTTCAAGCCACTGACTTGGTTGCTGTGTCTACCTATCTTTTATCAGCTAATTTCTAGCAAAACCCTCGTACATAATTTACGAATATTGTAGGGTTTGGGCCATAAAAAATTTCATTGATTGTTTTAAACCTAATATCAGTTTATCAAAGCTCGAGATTCATATAAATGTTACGCTTGTCCTATATTTGATAACAAATCGGCCACTCAAAAAATACTATGAACCTGGATAATTTGAATGATTTTATTTGTTTAATTTTAAAATTTTTATATAAGTATTCCTGTTGTTTGAACTCTTACTTCCAGAAGATATAATTTTTCATGTGTACCTGCGGACTTATAAAGAGTCATCTTTATATTACAGTTCTATTCAAACTATTGATACCTGCTATCATGTTGACTGTATATGCTAGGAACGCCACCTTATCCATGATACGCTGTTTGGCCAACACATGGATCATTTAGCCTTTTGCGGTAAAAAATGTAACATCTTCCGTCATAAATAGGTGTTAGCTTATCCTATTTCACAGTACAATTGCTTGCAAAAGATTTTACGAAATAACATTAATTGTAATTTCTAGACGCCGGGAACATGAACGCCGATGGTCGTGGCAATGCCCATGGAAAAGGCGTTACACAGGAAGGATGTACCCAGACGACCTTCGATGGACGATAGATGACCATAAGGCAGCAGAGTACGACGATCATCAGTACCTTCCTGAGGTTGAGTCGCGAGGCCGCGGTGACGTGAAGCCGCGACATTATATAAGATACCATGACGAGCCACACGCTTCATCAAGCAAACACTCTCAACAATGGTTTGATGAAACATCCCGTAAAAAGCAGCCATCAAAAATGAAGGAGCGATGGAGCGAATGTGCACTAAAACCTAAGCCCAACGAGAATGTCTACGAAAGTGACGGCAGTTGTCCGCAGTACCAGCGCTACTGGGATACAATTGTTAGTGAGAAAAAAGTGCGATCGGAAGTAAGAGTGGAAAGCCGGGTAGAATTTTTATCAGAAAACTCCAGGAACAAATCAGAAATTCATCGCCAATCGGGGAAACCCAAAACACACATCAAACAAGATGATGGAAAACGCCAGAAATCATCTGAGGAATGTAGACCTTCTCACAGCCTGCGTAAGCGGTCGGTGGATCGCTCCCGAGAAACTTCTAACAGACGCAGGCACAGCCGCAGCAGCAGCAGTAGTAGTTTCACTTCCATTTCTACACCTAGTGACTCGTGCGCTTTTTCACCAGTTTCTTCTTGTTCCACTGATGAACTAATAACATGGAATATCACGCCGTCAACTAATAAAATGGAACCTCACGCATCATCGCAATTTTCATCCTCTTGGAACCAGCAGGTTTGGGGACAAGGAGCTGAGGATTTTCAAGAAGAGAAATTATCAAATATTCCCGTATTAGTGTCTAGCAGCCAAGACTCGAGCATCTTCAGTGCGAACGAATCAAACTTATTCAACTCGTCGATTAACACGAGCGACCCGAACCATGCCTCGACGACCAACACCTCCCAAGACAGCGGAGTGGCGTCAGTGGAGCTGGACTCGTCCGTTGAGAGGGCGGATGCCCGGACATTGGCTCTGGAACAGCTGTCGCGTCTCACGCGCTGGGTGCTCGGCAGCTGCATCAAACGGTACATGCCTTCAGTGCGTCCCCCGCTACTCACTGCCATGCAGGTAATTAAAACTCAAAGTTACTTTTTATAATCATTTAATCTGTTTCTATTAATTTAGCAGGGAAAATGCTACAAACGATAAAAAAATTCTTGACTTCATAGATTGATTTTCGAGACACTCATTAGTAATGCGAAATTGTATATTTCAAAATTTCGATTTTTCATCGTGTACCAAACAAAATGTATAATTGCTTCTTTTAGAACTATTTCAATCATACTTATCTCCAACAGCTTGGAACGGCGCGCGACACTGACGTGAGTAAGTGGACGGAAAATGGAATTCAACACGTTCTGATGGTCGACAGCGATTGGCTCAAAATGACCTCTGCTATGCAAGCGTACAAAAAAGCACAAGCGGGCGGCGAGAAATACTCCGTCGACTGGATCTGCAGGAATTTCACGCGCGAAGTTTGGCCACACACCGCAGTGGACGTGGCGTGCAGCCACCTCGCTGTTCACACCGCCCTCGAATCGTCCACCAAAACTGAATTATTCGCACACAATACTGCCTGCTCGCTGAAAGAAGGATCATGCCTCGTGGCAACAGTTATTAGTTCTGCACAAATTTTGCGTCTCCTTAGGAAAGAAGATTCTGGAAGAAAATATGACGGGCGGAATTTTAAGTTGAGACTTCACGGCCACTCATCTCGCAGGTCATTGCCAGATTTTGGAGTCCGTTTCACTCTGCAAATCGGAAAAGAACAGTTCGAAGGTTACGTGGTTCAGATATCCGTGATAGAGGATATTTTCTCGCGTCACAGTCTTCAACTGATAAATCATCGTTCTTTCTTGCAGTTGTTCGACCATTCATGCAATTTCAGCCCGTGTTTACAACAGCTGAGAACACTTCGCTTAGTGGGAAACAATACAGCAAGCAGGGAAAAACTATCGCCAGTTCTTCAAGACATTGCAGAGCTCTTCGACGTGCTCATCTTCAGGAAGCTGGCACTAGCAGCTCCGAAATAGAAATCCACAGGAGCCCCTAACTTGTGTTCCTTCATTTCGCATCTAGAGGAAGCTTCATTTTTACCTGCTTTGATTTTAAAATATTCGAGTATCGTTTCTTTTTAGCTATAATAAAGAATATGGATGAATAATATTCGCGCTTGGTAATAAATTTGTGTGATAAGAGGTAACTCTCGGCAGGTCTGAGCGATTACAGATGTCTCATAAATTCGAGGTGTCCTGCTAAACATAAGTGACTAGGATATCTCGCTATTATAGCTATAACTGACAAAACATTTTTGGTTCTTTAATGGTTTACTAAGCTATAAGTTGGTCAGATAAGTCGGAGATCATTCTTAAGAAAACTAATCATTATGGTATTTGCTTTAACTACTCATGTCTTTTAGAATAAATGCAAACTTGACCGATATTGCGTCTTATAAGCCTATTAGCTTAAGTCCCAATTAAATGTCATTACGAACAGAACTGTCTCTCCTAGTTTATGTAAGCTGACCGAATTTTTATTCTCATTTACCTTATTTACTATTCGATCATTTACATTGACAAAATCTTACTTTTTTAGACGGAAGGATAAATGAGCGAATGACTCCGGAATCATCGAAGTTACGGTCTTAACTCTTACGGGAGAAAAATCGTCAAATTTCTTTTTGGTGCATTGTGGTATAATCCCGGCCAGGCCGGCCTATACGTATAAAACGCCGTAAAACAAGAATTTGTATAACTATTTATATTTTATAAAAAGCTATTTCTTTAGTGAAAACAAATCATTAGGTAATAGGTATATCGATTCTTGCACTTCGTCGTAACTCGTAACAACATCATAATGATAATGCTCCCGTCAATGAATGTTCGACATCTTTTATCAAGAACAATTCAATTTCAGCGATTAACTGGTAATACTATGCTGATATTAGCGCAAATTTTAACCAGTACTATAATCACATTACCTTCCCCAATTGTGCAAACATTTAATTTGTGAATTTTTTATGTAATGATCATTGATCAGTAGGATTCAGTATCAGTAGCAACTCTAGTAGCTACTAGCTAGCTATAAACAATAAAATGCCTTTTCAGATTTTATGAAATATCAGTAACGTAATTATTTTTAGGTCTTGCAGCAATGAATTTCAGCCTTTTCAGGTTATACTAAATTACTAACTAGTAACTACTGTCAATGCTTGAAAAGTTGAATGCACACTGACTGTCTGACACAAGTCACCAATTGGCAGCTATTGCAATTTGCATTTGATCTAATGAATGTCTTTGCTTCAAGGTCTTGTCCTCTCTGCAAAAATTCTGTTTGTCACTAAAATTGCATAATTCAAATTTAGAATAGGCCTATGGCTATTGGTCAGAAATCAGAACTGTGAAGTCTGTGATTTGTAGAGTTGGATTACCACATAAATGACATAATTAATACAAATCTGTTTTGATCTTGCTAGTTGCTATCAAATTAATGTTTAATTTTGTTTATATACATTCTGAGACAGTAAGACTCAGAGACTAAAATTGAGCAAAAGTGTTTACCTACATAATTGACCAGACCTAAAGGCATTAGCCATCTAGATTGGAAATTTCTTGTTTGTAAATAAAATCTTTTAGCTCCCAAGTGACAAATTTTCAATACCTACATTCAGAATTTTGCTCCTCGATTGGCATTCATGTAGGCCTAGTTTTTTAACAATTAGAAAGGGGATCATTTATATAGTGGGAATCTCATTCTCACAGCCATGGTGGCAGGGAATTATTGTGAGTACTTATAAATGTTAACAGCATTATAATACATGCAGAAACGTAAATTTTTTTAGAGATATTTAAAATTTAGGCTCTATGACTTGTAAGTTGTATACTATACAGTCAAATGAGTCGATAGGATTTCAAGTGGATTCATTCAAATTCAAATTCGGTCCACCACGCCCCACGGCCAGTGTAGCTGTCAGCTGACTTTCTTCAGAAGTGCAAAAGCTTTTGCCGGTGAAGGTGTTTTACGATCGGTCCGTAAAGAAGCGTTGATCGGTTCAAAATGACATAAGAACAGGTTCTTTTGAATAACCTATGGATTGCCACCATGCTCACAGCTCCAAAAATGGTGGGAAAGCTCTAATTGTAGCTTGAAAAGTAGATATATTTCACACCAGCCACATACGAATGAAACAAAAATGCCTATGTTTGCTGTCAGAGACTCAGAGTGTCAGTTTCACCTTCTTTTATGGCCTTTGATTAACTTTTTTTTTAAATACGAGCAATGAAAGATTTTTACTATCAATTTTTTCTGAATCAGCCATAAAACAATTGTTTTTATATGCAATTTTACATATAATAAATCATTTTTGGTGAAGGCTGCCTGGCTAAAAACTAAATTGCTTTGGAAGTTTGGCCATACTCATGGCATTGACAGTACACAGTAGTTACCAGCTGGGTATCCAAAAACAGAAGAGAAGTTTTCCTGATTTCATAATACATTTTGTTTATTTGTTCTTAGCAGCAATAAATGCCATGTTGCAAATAACTTATCAAGAAAGATTTTGACAAACCACTGATAGCAACAAAAATGATTGTTTTTACTTGCAACTGTCAGTCTGTCAGAAAAATCTGCCTTATGTCCCAACTAGAAAGTAGGCAGAAACCACTTTTAAATGGGACAAAAATGTGCATGCTATTATACCCTTTCATCTGTTCCTATGGCCTTTGCCTAGTTCATTTGGTAAAGATTATGCAATCTTTAAAAAAATTCAGTGAGAAACTTTCTACCTGCAATTTAAAAAAAAAATTCAACATTTCAGATTGGCCTGATATTCATGATTTGATTTGTTCTCCATTTCTTACTTTACCTAAAAGGTGACTGATATGAAAATGTCAAAATTTAAAGTCCAAGTCATTTATTGATTTTTAAAGATGACATATTTTTGTCAAATTATATTTAATTTGATTGTTAATTAGATTGCAAGGGAGTGCAATCTAATGTTGACAGTTGATCCAAACAAGGCTGTGCATGTCATGCATGTATATACACAATTACACATAGGTATATTTTCTTGTATGGTCATTCAAGTCAAAAGCTATGCCAAGATTTTTATTTTTGCATGCACCAGGTATATTTTTGCAATCAAAAATATATTTCACAATCAAAAATATATTTCGGGTAGAGGGGGTATCTACCTTTCAAGCTACAATGATGTGCTCTTAAACTCCAAGTACATTTAAAAATGCAAATCTCTTGGATTTCTTTGATTATGGAGAGACTTGGTAACAAATACTAGTTAAACATATTAAATGTTAGTTATTCATATGTATTGAATACAATGTCAGTCAAGTCTTCATAATTTGCAAATTTCATCTCCCTATAACATGGCAGTTAATGCCTAAATTTCTGGATGCAGTTCTAATGGGATCTTCATCTGTTCTATCAATTACAAATTGCTTTAAAGTTTACTGTTTTTAGAGGAAGTGTGGGGAATATTTGTTATTTTCTTTGCAGTTAAATTCATAACATGGTCATACTGTAATTAGCATGCCATTTTTTCATCCTGGAATATATTTTATTACATTGGTATAGGTTTGATATAGTACACTGTAACCTGATCCAAACATTCATATTTTCCCCTGCTAACTCTTTTTGATTCTAAATTATGTGAAATTTAGATTAGCAAATTTGAACAACTTTAATTATGTATCTCTTAACTCTTAAAACTTCAGTACATTATAAGTTCAGATCAAAGTGGAGTTATGATCAAGACTTTTTGAATTGGAGTGATGTTTAAGCTGGACAGAAATCATAATACTCTTTTGTATTCCAGTTTTGGAGACTAGAAAAGATATTCCTACCTGCAAAAATCTCTGATGAGTGATGACTAGTACTCAAATTGTGGTTTTAATTTCTCTTTCTGAATACTGGATTGTAGAGGAGCTGAAAATTATTTTAATCAGAAATATCATGTGCTGAAACATCTGCCTGCATCTAGTAATGAATTTTCAATTCATAGTCTATTCATAAATTGGAATAAAAGTTTTCTTTTTTTCAGTGAAAATGAGAGCTGGAGCCGTGCTGCTACAGCAGCAGTCCTATTCCACATCTGCTTCAAATCCTGAGAAAGAAAAGCCCCGCTTCAGAGCTTTCAATAGGTTTGGACTAAACATTACTGACAACAGCCTGACAACACCAAAAACAAATTCATGCTCGTATTTTATTTTGAGACTTGGAATGAAAGCTATTGAAAAGCTGCATGAAAACAAGTTCTCTCAAATTTTCAACAAAAACACAATTTTAAATGTGTTGAATAGGGCAGTAGTAGATGTATTTTTTAATCCCAGTAAGCATAAAATATTTACTGTATCTGAACTTTGATCAGCCATTGATTGCCGTCTGAAATTCAAAGAAATAGGTATCAATTCAAGATCAATTAATATGTGTGAATTGAAAATTGCTCTCATTTGTTGTTTGATTTTACAGCTTCAGGACCAACCATGGTGCCCGAAATGCATTGATAGCTGAACGGGACTACTGTTTTTTGGACAGCGACCGCGACGTTCCTATTGGTGCCAGAGAACGTTTCCGCTTGAAGCGTCAGCATGAACTAGCGGTAATTTTATTCAAATCTCATAATAAAATGTGTGAAGCAAGACATGCTTGGGGCAAATTCTTTTATTGGGGTGAATGATGAGGGTTTTGAGCCAATTAATTAATCTGTACTGGCTTCATGTTGACGAGCTGGTTGATCTAAGGGTACGCACACAGTGAAAGCAAGTTGCCAGCGTGCTGGTTACCTGCTCAGGCTGGCGCCTGAAACCATAGAATACAGAAGCCTGTTCGTACAGGTTTTCACTGTGAACACTTACATTATTATCCTATGTTCATTCTTGTGGCAGGTTGGAGCAGGTTGCCCGCGCGGGCAAACCTGATTTCACTGTGTGCATACCCTATTGCATTCTCAGAACACACTACGCATAATCGTTGTCTCCTGCCCTTCCCAAAAATTCAAATTTTGTATAATTTTATGCTTGTATTTCATGTCACTCAGTTTTTCTGCCATTGAGTGATGAAGAGAAGTTTTACAATACAGACATATGTGAACGATTGTTTATTTTGCAGGCAGATGTTTTGCGTCTGTTAAAAGAAATTCAATTTGCCAAAGAATATGGTGGCGTCGCAGGTGAAGAGCGGCGGGAGGATCAACGCCGGCAGCACGTTATTCAGAACAAACTCAAAAGCAAAGAACACATGAAGATCGATCCTCTGAGCGAGGAAATTGAAGAAAAAAATTCCTATACAAAAAGCCAGACCTAGTAGAACACTTTCAAAAATATTCTGTTATTATATGTAGATTAAAATTTCATGATATCTTTTTTTTAACCTTCTCTGGCAACTGATGAAGTTATTGTAGAAACGTTATAAGGCTAATGAACGTTTCCCACATAGATAGTTGATAAATTTAACAGGAAAAACGAATTAAGAAGTCTCATCATTTGTATATGTAATGTATATTCTAAAATACGATAAAATGTTACCTAATGAATAGAAACCAAATTTACTATTGATTCTCTTTCAAATAAGCTATGTCAACATCTTTCAACAAGACTGACAACTTTGCCTTCCATGCATTGTACGTAGCCCTGTCGGTGGTATAGCCCGAACCTGCTGCAAGAAATAATTTTCTCTTTTGGGTGTATACATCCGCCACACTAGGCTTCTTGATGGTCTCGGCCACGTCTTCAGACTTAAATTTTTTAGAATTTTCTTGCTCGACACAAATGTTTTCCATAGAAAATTTGTTTCTCAGTCCATTTGATATAAACCTTGCAGCTTCGTAAATTTTAGTCCGGGATTTTTCCACGAGGTAGTCTGTAGAGGATAACTGCCCAGAACTTGAAGAATGTTCACGTGATAAGCTTGCTACTTCTTGCGAGGCGCTCTCGACAGGCGTGATAGTTCCGTCGAAGGGCAAAACAGACTTGAGAGCGTGAATCAAGATAAGGCCTTGTCGCAGGTCCCTGAAAAAATTTTTTGATAGATTAAACTCGCCACTCATCGACTTTCCCTATCATTCAGATAATGTATCCAATCTATTTCACTCAGAACGCACTCCAAGGTACGTATTAAACTGTACAACGTGAGAACTCGTTTACATATCAAATTAAAACTTCATTCGAGAGACGTGCTCACCGCATTGAATTCTTGACCGGGCTGTTTTTTTTTCTATGGATGGACTCGCTGCACTAAGTTGGTTAGCTCCAACTTCAATTATTATTATTATTATGAAAGTCTCAAATTTTTTATGTTAATCCAGCTATTTGTTTATTTAAAAATCCGTATGAAGTAAGTAAAAGTAAACTTTCAAACTTCAAAGAGTTTTGCATATTGCTATTGTTGTCGTGTGTACTTTTCCGTTTTTTTAACCGACGATTCCTAGCCGCATTTATACACGACTCTACTGCAACAGTACAAACTGATTACCTATATCATCGCAGAGACTACAAACAAGGGAGTAAAGATTTATAATATAATTATTTTTGGACTACTATGCTTACACTTTTTTAATGCAATGTTTATACTTCTTGCACAATAAATGAAGTAAAATGAAAAGAACGATTGAAAATATGTTTTTTGTCTGAAGAACGAGTGAGGTAAGTGTTCAAGGTATTTATGGATAGAGAAAGGAAAAGTGCGCAGCTAGCCAATTCACAACTTGAGTGTACAATTCACTAACAGTTTTACTTTTGAGTGTATATAAAAAATCACAAGGACCAGAACGCACCTGTAGTAGAGATCTGCTGTGATGCACCGCACGTGATGCTGGTTGAGGCTCAGGGCGGAGTGGTGAAGAGCTGCTGAGGCGTCATTTGCATATAACACGTAGAGGTTGCGCACGTCAGTAACCTAAAAAATTCAGTATCTTATAATATAGGAAATATTGATTTATTTATCGGATGTATTTTTTCGAATTAGAATGGCTCGTAAATAGTGTGCGAGTTGACCAAAAAACGGAGCAGGTTTTCTTTCACATATAATATCACGCCAACTTGAAGAAAAAGGTTGTCAAGCCTTCAATCCTACAAGCAAGCGGCAGCGTTCAAGCACAAACATGGTGGTACAACTTCAAAGAAGTTTACACTACAATTAAAAGTGTATCAAGTTAAAAAACGTAACGTGCTAAGATTCTGAGCTTACTTAATAGCGGTTTCAGCGTTTATTAGGCCGTAGGCCTGTCGCCGATTCTTAACATCGCAGAACATTCACAGCATTTTGCGGCTCGAACTCGCAACTCACTGCTACAATTCTGCTGTGCTTAACCGCCCGGCCTCCTTGCCGATTCTGACCAGCAACTGGCGCACAGAGCTGGGATCGAACCCGCGCCTCTCTACTTACAGAGAAGGAAAGTTTAAAAAAAATGTAACCAGATAAACGGAACTCGGTGCTCACTCGTTTGACGTGGAAACGTTCAGCCAGCCTCGTCCTGAGATTCTCTAACGATAAGCTGGAGGCGGCGCACTGCAACAACACGCTACACTTCTTGCTGCCAGCTATGAGCGCAAGGGAATCCAGCGACACGCCTGTTGTGAAAATGGACAAGATTTTGGTACCCAAGATAGTGACCCCACGAACAGGACCAAATTTAATTTTGCGAAAAGTTATTTTCTATAATGCATATAATAGACAGTTGAATACTTGAAACGACTGGAAATTCTAGTAAAAAGTTAACCATAACCTAGTCAATGAATATAAAATACATCAACCTTCCGCGAGGCTAGACATTTTCAGTGGGATATACTGGACGAAATGGTTCATAGATAAAATTGCGTCTGTCTCTCTTACAAGTAAAAGAAATGAGGATCCTCATCGATAACACAGTTTACCTGCCCTAGGCAGTGCCTGGAATGAGACTCGCGATGCATCCAGCGTGAGAGCGTCCACTCGCACGGTTTTAATAGGGAGCTGATAGAAGCAATCACTAAGGCTAGTGCAATACTTCGGATAATCAGAGCTCAGAAACACAGCCCCATTTCGACGCAAGAACTCTTCCGTGGTTTCTTCTTCCGTAGGAACTTTTCTTCTTTCTGATGTGGTCTTCTTGGGGGAGCTGAGTGAGGAAAGATGAGCGGGAACGTCGGAATCTAAAGCAAAGAACGTTTTTCTTTTCCTCTCATTCCTGTCAGTCGAGGAGTGGCCTTCACTCTTCAATAAAAACTTTTCCTCACTATCGACTTTCTCGATGTGAATATTTGGCGACCGAGAGTTGGATTTGTTAACCTGGAGAGATAAAGGCTTGGTCTTGAATTGCACAACTCCTGTGAACTGCAAGCAACGTCCGGAGCTAAACGATGGAAGACGACAAATTCCTGTTGAAAAACACATGATTTGATAACGTAAGACCACTGAACAACCGGTGGCGCAAATGATAAAATTCCAGGTAAATTAGGCTCAATAGAATAGAACTAAAATCAATGAACCCTCGTATTTTTAAAGAATATGTGAAACTGATGAGATATCGTCCAATAAGCTCGAAGAAAAATAACGCCAAAAGTACAGAAGTAGAAAGATTGACGATTCTAAAGGAACATGGGAACAATTTTTGAATTAAAATACATAATGAAAAAAAGGAATACATTTACGGAAAACTTACCAATAACGTATGCCTGTTTCTTAGGTCTTAGAAGGCACGGAGAAAGTCTCTCAATGCAAGTGTTGGAAGCGCCTTGTGATTTTTCAAGATTCTCGTCGCCGATTTTGCCCCGGCTGTTCTTATTTCTGTCTGAAGAATCCGTGTGTCTATGTTTTGTAGGCCTCACGACACTTTTGTACACTGCAGTTTTGTAATCCAAATAAGAACGCCTGTTGCATCCCTTAGAGTTTATTTCATCTTTATTCTCGGAGCGGAGACTCAGAATTAACTCCAAATCACACAGCATGAGTCTGATGGAAACAATAGGTTTGAGTTTGACCTCAAATTCTCCTGGGACACATATTGACTATTATCAGAAGATTAATGTGGTGAAACTTTATCATTCAATAGCATTGGCAGAACAACATTTACCACGGAATGAATATAAGTTGTTGCATTAATTACTGGCATAACATTTTCTAATGCGAATTGAAAAAAAGTTGCTCAATCATCACTTGAACAGCGAGCAAGATGGAGGTACAAATTTTGGAAATATAAACCGAGTAGGAGGAGAAAGAAAACGATTTGATTAGCTAGACAATTAGTGTACGTTATATATATTTTGTTTAGAATTCACAATTGCTAATCGGTCATTAACCCATTTAACTCACCTATGGACAACAACGGCTCACTAGCAGCAGATAGTACATTCAACGAACTAAACATATTTTGTAAACATCATTTTATCAAAACTGCAAAAATGACTTCAGTGCAAGTAGAAGTCATTTTACGAATAAATTACGTAATTTATTATTATTACGAATAAATCCTCTCTTATAAAAGCTAAGAGTTAGAGAGCTTAAAACTCATTGTTCCTTTGACTGACTTGTTCGAAGCATTTGTGAGGGCCACACATATGATGAAGGCATCGTTGTGCAGCAGCTTGCTACGCACCGTGACAACGCGGCACAGCTCGCCAGGCTCTTCTCGCCTCGCAACCTACAAAATAACAAGACTAATAATAATTTTGAACCTTTGGTCTAAGGATGAATTACTCAGAGTAAATGTTATTTGAATCTATAGACTTGTGAAATACAGTTACCTTCGTAGATCGAAAGATTAAGAACTCTTTACTAAATATATGACTTTAAAGTACCTACCTATATTAAAAACGCGATCAATCACAAGTTTAAGCGAAATCTGACTGCATGAAAAGAATGCAAAATAACAATGAATAACTCGCAGAAAAACTATCCAAATAGAAATACAATGAGTTGTAGGTAACGAATAAGGGAGATAAATACAAGATATCAGTACTAACGAGAGTTTATGAAGTGAACGCACGACGTTTCAGACGCTCATGAACCGATTTTGCTTGCTAGCATAAAATATTTCAGGGAGACTGAAATATATTCGGGAATAAATATACTTCAGGGACTATATTATTCATTTCATTGATCATAAATTTAGCTAATTGACACATATGCAGTTATTTTAGCAAGGGAATACCTGGGGTTATTTCAGTAATCGAATAACTTCAGTTAATAATGCGATCACACTCTCAAATCGAACGGAGACCTGAGTATGAGATGGTCGAACTCCAGCCAAGACAGAGCGGAGGGCGGCAGAGTGTCGACTGATGAACGTCTCGCGCTGCCGACAGCTGGTCTCCAGACGACACAGGCGCTCCAGTGACGCCTGTGTGCGTCAGGCGAGTGAGTGACATGACGGGAACATGAGGATTAAATGAAAAATTAATTTAATATATAATATAATATTAAATATGTAGATTTAGGGAAGAGCATAACGAAGTAAGAACGGTGGAGTAAGCTACTCCATCATGGAGTTCTGTTAGTAGATTTCAGTTGAACTTTAGTTCATTAAATTCGCTCGTAATATTATGAATTCAACTAATTTATTATAAGGAAAGTTTTCTATTGGGATTTTTTTTTAATTTCTGTCTTTTGGCTGAGTTTAAATTTAAGAGAAGTTAAAATAAGTATGCAGCAATTTTATTTTCTTTGCGAGATTTTTATTCATAAGTCGACGACAGTAGAACAATGTTGCGGGAACCAACAATTAAATTGTGATGAGACTAGGGCCGTAAACTAAATATTACGAAAACATTCCAGATACATTTTTTTACACAACTGTTACAAGATCAGTAAGGGACAACATTTGTTTTACATTCCTGGAGCCGCAACCTAAATCTGACATCTCAAATCTAAATGAACTTTCTTACATGTAACTTGGATTGTAAGATTTTTTCCACTTTCAGTTTGGCTGCCGGCGGGGGAGGTTGGGAGCTTTCGACTTCCGACGCGTCGGACAAATAAGGCAACCACTGCATGCGCTCTCCTGCAATAAACATGCATTAAGAATATTATATATATAATTTTTTATATATATTATATATAATGCTTAGACTTTCATAAATGTTGCTTAGACAGCTCTTTGCTAGACCATCAGTCAAAGCCTTGTAATTAATTATAAAAAAACATTGATTAACGTTTTGGTAGCAACCATCAAGGGAGCGAGCGTTAATAGGTCCAAATCATTGTAGATGCTAGATGGTAGCTATAGACTTACCTACTTGTACCTCTACGTTAATAGAGAAAACGTGAGTAAAAAGATCTGAAAATTAATAAGATTAAAAATAATACTAGAAAAATTAGATTTAGATCAGTTCATGAAAAACAAAATGTAATTAATAACTCACGGTTATTAAATGTTAGTCAGAAATACTATTAAAATACCTGAGCATTTAATAATATGCAGTGTTGGTCTTCCAGTTAAACCTTCATCAGCAGAATCGACAGACTGAACTGAAGTATACCGACTCACGACCTGCGTAGATCAGCTGCATGATTATTCTTGATCACTTATAATAATCAATACTGACTATAGAAACAATAATACGGTACCTATATAATTGTGAACGTCAGCCATCGAAAAAAACAGGAATGAATGACATAACTTTAATGCTAAAACAATGACCACAAAAAAGTTTAGAATACGATTGAATTGGTAAACATAAAAAGTATTGTTTAAAAAATGTACTTGGTATACAAATTGTTGCAATTCCCTGTTGTAAACTAACCCTGAGTCTCAATTAGATCAAGCAATTATTGTACTTTCCAATCCATGCGAAAACAAGAGCTGAGCAATTGCTGAGCTTCCTCATGTTTTAATGTGAAAAACCAAAAATAATTACTATTCACTATTTCAGCATTTCAATCCATAACTAAAAAGGTTTACAAATACCTAAAATGATGTGCGATAGTACGTATCGCCCTCGCTAAATAAACAGAACTGCATTATCTTGCAAGATTACAATTACATAACATCAATTACATAACACTATAAATGGCCTGACATGGAGTGCAGGGAAGGAGAGGATGGTAAGGGCGCCGCCCTCCTGCAGCAGGACGAGGTAGCGGCGGGGGGAGGGACGTGTCTCGTGGTGCACCAGCATCTGCACAGTGCGGTCAAAGGTGAAGCAACTGCCACATGCATTGCCAGAGAGGATGATGAACAACAAATTAATACTTGAGACAAATTTAAAATCAAGTTCATTGCCGGCCAATTTTTCGAACGTACCTGCTTAACTGGGAGAGCAGACCCTCCATCATCGGTGAGGGCAGAGCCCAGACTGGCGGTTGTCCACACAGAGCCGCGGCCCAATAGTAGCGTCTTCAGTCCGGCCACCGCCACTGTCCGGAGCAGCGGTCGCACTCTCGGCGTCCACGCTTGAAATCGAACAGTTCAATATTAGAAAACATATTGATGGAGTATGAATGCAATTTTACTCGATAAAGATTTCGAAGAGAAATATACTCACCATCATTTGAATGCTCATCACTGGTCTGTCGTAGCTCAAGTGCCTCCAAGACACTCGGAATTTCATAGAAGTGCGCAAACGCTTGACATTTGCTGAGGGTAGCGAGCACTTCAGGTGAAGGTTCAGTGCCTGGTAAGAACGGGAATTCTTTCTCCTGTTGACACTTCACGATTTTCTTGACGTCCAAATCGTCGTTAGTAGGCAATGCTGATTCGTTCGGCGGCGAGTCGGCACTCGCATTGCATGGTGAATGAGCAGATGCCGCATGCAAGTCATCCAAAGTTGAGATATTCATGGGGACTTCGCTTAACTCGAAGCCATCATCGATGTAGAAGTCCATATTGAGTATAGTGGGAGCTCGACAACTATTCACATTAAGCTTAGTACTTCAATAATTTTCGTGCAGTAAGCCAACTCAAACATTTAGTGCAAGCAAAATAAGAACTAGAGTGCAGAAGGGGTTTGAAATTTAAATACACATTGAATTGAAAAATTAAAAAGATTTGGTAATAAATTATTAATTTGCACTTGAAAGTCCACTTAAAGGTGATGTCTGGTAAGCGAGTGTGCAACTTGCAAATACGAGTCTCCAGAAGTCGGAAAATGCCCTCACCGAACTAAGTGCCAGGTATCTAACTCATTGTGCTTGTGCAGGACCTTTAATAAAAAAAGAAAAAAATAAAAATAAACACTTGAAATATGAAATATACGTGGAAGAAAAACCAATAAAAATACTTCGGAAATTCATTAATGAATGTGTATCTAGTCCAAATGTGCAAAAAAACTATAATTATGTGCCCAAATATACATAGAATGAGAACATTAAATCTGAGTTTACAGAAAGTCAGAAAGGCTCACACAGATCATCGCACGTTGCTATCATATTAAAAATCGTTGATCGACAAGAGTCTTCTTTATGAGATTCCTCTTGCCGCCGACATTTCGTAGAGCTTTCAAAGCGCTCGAGACTGCATAAGTAACTACGGCAGAAAGAACGAAGTCATACGAGAGCAAGTCAACAAAAGTGAAGAGAAGAATTTCAAATAATACAAGAACTGTTTCTTGCCCGTAGAGCAGAACTCTATCGAAGAGATGTTTCTGGTCCCTGAAAAAAAGACATTTGTCATCTACAGTCTGAAATTCAACATCAAGCACTGTCTCCAAGAAGAGTTTATCCTTGATGACAAAGTCAACTTCTGGCGAAGAATGTTGAAGGAACATTTCGAAAAAGTTCTTCATTGTTTCGTGAGCTTGAACAGTCAGTTCGACTTTTTTAGTATCGAGCTTGAGGCGATGATTAGAACTAAACTGAGGCAAACTTGTTGCATTTTGTTGGAGAGTTGGCGTCAAGATTCTAAGGTACTCCTCTCTGAATCTGTACGTCGTTATAACCTCAAATGTCTGGCAGTCACTCGAAGCTTCCAAACCTCTGTAGGCGCAAAGATCTTCTTCTTCTCTCTTCAATTGTTCGTAGAATGTTAGCAAATCAGAATCAGCAAAGCCATGCACGGAACGTCCGTGAATATAGTAGCCATATAAGGGGTTTTCCAGTATAAACACGCTAATATTAGCCATGGAACAGAGGTCTATGAACTGTTGTAGTTTATTCTCTATGTATCGTTCGTAAATGGCTGATCGGACGAGAAGCTGCAATGCAATTAATAGCAAATGCAAAGAAACGCTGAGACTAAAACGGCATACAAAACTGTCTAGTTGCTCGTACTCAGCCGGGCGCTCGGTCATCGAAGAATTTGGGTTGAATGAAGCATGGTTTTCCACGCCAAGAACTTTTAAGAAGAATAAAATAGCTATCAAATGGTAAGCCAAATTTATTTTTCGCAGAGACTGAATCTCATTCCATTCATTAGCAATAAAATAAATTCTCCAAATGCTGATAGTTTGGCCGCTAGAATTCCCGGTCAATTCAGATTTTTTAGACAACCTGGGGTGTGGTATTGTATTTTGAGCTCTTGGTTTTTCCCAATCAATCAGAAACAAGTCTAGAGTCATCTGACCGTAGAACACGTAACATAAATGCACGAGCTTCAACGAGAATGCTGATATCAAGTACTGCTTGATGAGATATTCGTCTTGTGGGGTTGGAAGTAGCAGGAATACAACTCCTTGATGTTTAAATATTATGGTCCAATACAAGCACGCAGAAAACATTACGAGGAAAAATACATTCGCCAAGTTTCCGCAAGAGATTAGAAGTAATCTGAAGATACCGGAGAGATCGACACCGACTTTTCCACTTCGTTTGCCCCAACTGTAAGCCTCGATAAGCGACCAAAGAACAGCGAAGATGCTCATCACTCCAGCAGATATGGACACATCGCGTTTAGCGTCCGAGAAATCCATATTGTATTGAACCTCTAAAGTCATTTCAACATCATCGGCAGCACGCAGTGATGATATAGGAACCTCATCATAAGTCAAGACCAGTAAAGGAGGATATATTAAACCATCAGACCCATCCTTTCTTTTCGTGATAATTAGCTTCAGATATTTAGCGTATCGAACTGCCAAAGCATTGCGTGACGTTCCTGCAGAAACTGCTTCCCTGCCACCGAGATTATCGAAGAGAAAAAACCTTTTCGTTAGCTGCCAATCCAATCGCGCTCTCCTGTTCACCAACACTTTGTCCTTTTCGAATTCCGTGTTTAAAATGTAAAGAGGATATCTTTCGAACAACTGAGTCTCTTCATTGTAATAGTTTAAGTAAAGTTCGTAGAACAAAGTTTCATAATTGTTCCACAGCGCGAAAGTCGGTATTAAACAGCTCAATTTGAAACTAATACCAAACTGAAATGCTGAACCGAGGTGGTACTTCAGTTTTGGGCACAACTCTAGCAGCTGTCTTGCCTCACCTATTCCTAGTATTTGACCGTACGGTGAGACTTTCAATACAGTGAAATTCAAAACATTGTTTGGCGAGCTTGGTTGAAAACTGAAAACCGTATTCATTTTAGTGTCAGTCAAGAGCTGCGGTGCATCATTTTCGTCGTAATATATCCCCGGTACATGAGCCGGTAGACCAGCAACACTCTTGCCAAACACAGTCCTATAATAGCCACAAGCGTTCAGTTCGTTATCGAACGCATAGTGCAACAGCACACACATGTTGGCCAGGAATTGACATGATGTGAGGTTGCTCTTAAAAACACAACCATGGGCAACAGACCGGTAATACTTATGCAAAATTTCTGACTTAACTTTCATGCTATTGAAGGGTATCAAGTAACTGCTTTCTCTGTCAGGTATGGACATTAACTCCGATAACTTGACACACTGGCCGTCCGTTATGGAATGAGTTGCTTCAGGACATTCACATCTACCATTGATGGAGAAAAACGAAGCAGGGCAAGCAAGACATCGATTGATGCTTGAGTCAGCCAGTGTCCCTTCTTCACACTTGATACACATTTTCCTTGAGAACTGAGTCCCATTCATAGCCCGGTCAATTGAAATGAAGCCTTGAGGGCAGGGTTTGCAAACTTTGAGCTCTTCATCATATAGGTCATCAGATTGACACTTAACACAGGCTCTCCCATCTGTTGAAGCTGTAAAATTTTCTGGACACTCTTGGCATGCCATTCCCTGCTTCTGTACTTGAAGGAAAAATCCTGGAGAGCATTGGCAATTTCCATGACCCCAAGGAGACAGAAAAGTTTCACCAGAAATGCTGCAGCTTCTCTTAGAATACACAACAAAACTTTGATTTGCAGGGCACTGTTTACACAGCAAACTGATGGGATCAAAAAATTCATTGCCAGGACACAAGTCCACAAATGAGCAAGTCACTTCATTGAAGCTAGAATAAAAAAACAGCAAGAACTGCCATCCAAATACAAGGAAAACTTCCATCACAACAAACAACTTTTTCACATCTGTAGGTATTAAAACTATCAAATAAAAGAATTAATGTTGGAAAAATATTTTGCTACACACATGTTGAAGATGTTGATTAAAAATGGCATTTTCATGACAAAGAATTCTTCCGTTCTAAGGTAGATCAAGTACCAATGTCATCATCCTAAATCACTTTGCTTCAAGATGAGTGCCAGTTCTGCAGGGCTATCTCAATCTGATCAATTTACACTGATGGCTATGCACAGCAAGTATAATGGCAGCCAGCAATGGTAACTATTCACTGACAAACATGTGCATGCTCATTCAACAGTGACACAAGGATACAATCACTTGATTTCAGTTGCTGACAGCTGTCAGCAACAACAGGCACTGACCATATGAATGGTCACTAATATAATGTGCACTGCTGCATAGTGAGAAGAGACAATTGCACCATAGCACAGCAGCCACCACAGCCACTGCTCACAGCTGTCAGCAGCTAGAGGTCTTGAATGTATTCAGTCATCAAAACACATATGTGCAAAGTCTGGTGTAGTGAATATATGTTGTATGCTATTGCACAGCCCACACTCATGTTTAAACTATTATTGGTACACAGTGCATTTTAATCTCAACATATTTTAGCCCACCATGCAGATTGATGAAATCGCAATAAAAATTCGTATGCACCCGGCACATCTTTCTGTATATGGTCCATGGATGATGGTTCCAGTGGCCCTTTTCAAATTTCTTCAATATAGTTAAAGAAAAATGGCATGTTTGTTCACAATTTTTTAAAATCCCTGTAGAACTACCGTTTTAAATTCTAGAAAATTCCAGCTAATATTCCATATTGGTTGTTAAGCCAAAGAAGAAAAATGTTTAAATTATAAGCCAATTAATTATTACTGCAAACTGCAAAGTGCTAAGTATTTCTTACAATGAAATTGAATGAATAAAAATTTTTTTTTGTTTCATCTCCAAAAATGATAAGCCAATTTGATATGATATCAATGCTAATAATAATTAATTGCTAGATGGAAGAAATTTTCACACACCAAAGCTAGAAAAATCAACTTGTCACTTAAATAAGCAAGTTGTAGCTCAGACTCTCAGAGAATAGATTTGTCAAATTGGAAATTGCATTACAGGTTAAACAGACAAATTTACAATTTTCTTCAACTATACACTATTGTCAACGTTTTGTCATTGTTGCATGTTGATCAATTGATGTTGTTAGCAACTTGCTGCTAACAACAGACTTCTCACTCTCAACAGACTTCTTCTCTAGACTCAACAGTCAACAGACTTCTCAACTTGCTAATAGCCTATTAGCAAGTCTCAGACTTATCAACTTGCTATTCGCCTATTAGTAATAGGCTAATAGCAAGTTGATAAGTCTGAGACTAAAATGAGTTACAAAAGTTCAATTAAAAAAAAAACAAGTATGACAGTAGTGACAGTTTAACTATAACTCAACAGACTGCAAAACAATGAAAACATCTACTTCTTAGCTAAAAAATTTTTGCTCCAAAGATTAAAGGTAAAATATTTAAACATTGGCATCTTTGGAAAAAACAATTAAATACCTAGACTAAGTATGAATTTTATAATGAATATGTTTTGAGCATTGAAGTAGGGTAAACGCGGTATATTCCGACATCGCTAGTCTGGAAAAGTCCTATTTTTGTCTGAAATATCGCGGCTCTAATATCATATAATTTCAGTAGGTATGAAATCTCGCGGCTCGAATGTCCTAAATTTTTGTTTGATTAAAAAATCGCGGTTTGCACTTCGCAAACATGTCATTTTATAAAATTTTCAACTTCCGCAATCCGCATTGCTTTACCGTTTCTGCCAAAAATATCTTGCAGAAAAAACATAAACATCGTAATGTAAACAAATAAACAAAACATTTGTTGAAGATCGCGCATAGTTGCGGTCATGTCAAAGCGGTCAGACTGTATATTAACACGTGCTGAACAGCCTGAACTTACAGTAGAGTAGAGACAAATTTTATTGTTGCCGTTTGACTGTTTAAGGGTAAAATTAGAGATTTGGGGTAACAAATATTGCCACACAAAGTGACGGAATATAGGGATTTGGTAGGTTTCCATTCTAAAGGCTTTTTAATAAATATGGCAACATTTTGTGATGTTTCATCAATCATCGTTGCTGACGCGTAGTGAAGTGTTTTGAGAGTCATGTGAAGGCAACAGAACTTACGTAACGCATAAGGTTTTTTTTATAGTTTTTCATTTCTCGATGCGTCCTTAATGTGTCGGAATATACCGCGTTTACCCTATTGTCCACTAGGCTATCAACTTTTCAACTTCCCATTCCTCTTGATTCCAACAGCCAGGCTGCCGACTGGGCTGCCAGCCAGGGTCAGGCCGTCAGCGTCAGGGCAGCCTGGCAGGGAATACCTTGAAAGTTGAAAGCACAAAATGCTCCAGATTTTACTTAACTACATATTCACACAATAAAGCAGATGAACATATCGCCATGACAAATATATTCAGAACTAAATAATTCAGACATGTGCTAATTGCTCTGCTGCGCCACCTGCGTATTTGCTTGTGGCTAGTCTTCATAATACTGATAACAGAATACGTGCGGCGTGCCGTAAACATTGCACCCGTTTCCTTGACAACGGATTTGTTTGTCATTACAAGCGATTTCAAGTGAGTAACAGATCATGCCAATCTATTTCATTATCATACATAGCTATAAAATTTAGTTACCTATGTGAAAAAGAGCTTGAAAGCTAAAATACAAATTCACTGACTGGAAAATCAATTTATTCACTATTTCGACAAAAAAATCAAATTTATCTATGTAATTTCTGGCATGATAATGAAGATAAAAAATTATGAAGGGTTGACATTTGTCCTCATCAATTTATTAAAACGACCAATTTTTGTCACGTTTTTCCATGAATGAATTCATTTGTTACTAGCGCATCTTCATGTAAGGTAAGATTATGAAGAGAAATTGCAATTCGCATTTCAATTTGATTGATGGTAATTTGAAGCAACGTAAAACATTCATTTTAAGTTCAAATTTAATATGATTACTGAAAGTCTGACTTTATTACTGACTTCAACATCCTCTTATCGTTCACTTAGCGGCAATTTAAGCGGAAACCGAGATATTTATTCCATACGCCATGGCAGTTTCACTGCGGTCGTCAGTTGCATTGTTGACATCATTGGTGCTGGTGAAGTGCGCGGTGCTGTTTCAAAGTTCTTTGAGATTGTTTGTGGATGTTAGTGCACGGATTAAGTTAATGATTCTTTGAAAATCGTACCATGGTTGGAAGATACAATACTGGCAAATATTGTAACTAATAAATGATCGTATTCATTGAAATATTTTGGTTTAAAAACCTTCACTTTACTGCGCTTGAAAGGGAATTACTTCTTATAATACAATGGTTTATTTCGAATCGTGGTCAATGTCCTTGCTATGCAAGATCAACCCTCTATTTATGTGTGAATATTTTTCTGCATATCAGTCGAGGATTTTGTAGTAATCTGTGCGTTTGATTGCGTATTTAAAATTGGTTGTCAGTTGTATTTTAATGGCATTAACAAAAATATATATAAATAACTATTATTAATTATTGCTATGAATTATCCGGTTAATGAACGATAATTGAGTTTTCTATCATAAGGTAAAATATGAGAAGAGTTGTAGCTATTTTCTGCATGTAAAATATACAGAAAAATTATAGAATAGAATAGAATAGAAGTGTCGGCGTTGAAGAAATAGGCCCATGGCCTGTTGCCGATTCTTGAACTTTTCGTGACTTGATTCACAAGGGATCCGGCCTTTGGAACCCGATCTTTCCATAACTGACGATTGATTGTCAAAAACGATGAATGTCAAAGTTTGTGTATGAACCCAAGCTTTGCATGCCATTCATTTCAAATGTTTAATTGAGATATGAAGCTATCAACGGCACTCACAAATCTACCGTTCGTTGGCAGACAATTCATATCAACTTTTAATTCATTATTTACGCGCGCACTCACGGTGCAGAGCTTCCTTCATCAGTTCCGGGTTCATTTCTGTTCGTTTCACCATTCATTTCGATGGCAAATGATAGAAATTTATTGTGATTGATGAAATGCTTGTGAAATTGTGTTACTGTGAATAGCGACCATAGCTTCATCGTCTATCTTGATTTTATAATCTTAGGTGAATTCTTTCTTTGGTTCTTGTTTCGTGGTAAAATCCGCAATTGAATGCATATCTTTACGATCATATGGAATACACTCGTTACTCTCTAACTTTCCCATATTGTTCATTTTTTATATTATTCATTTTTGAAACTTTCTAAGTGACTTGATCACAGCAATTAAGGCGGTCCAGGTTCATTAACATTACAGATATGTGATGCGGTCAATGCAGGGGCATTTCCGATATATTACATACGATGTCTTGTGTATATCATTAGAGTCTTTAAGTATTGATTGTTTATTAGACATTTTTCATGCGTAGTGAGCCATATCAGTGATATCACATATGAAGTGAGCTCCACTTCACTTCATAGAGAAGCTCTGTAAACGTTAGATAATTTATTGACATTCTTAATTTAAAAAGTAGCCAGTAGAAATTAAAAACAACGTGTTTTGACGCAGGAATTTTGGTACACAAAGCGGTGATGACGTTCAGCTTGCGGAAGTACATTCCTTTAGGTATATGTACTCCTTTAGAAATTATAATTCATAATAGAATTTTTTCCTCCTGTAATGTAACTACTTTTCTTATTGTTTTCTTTAACGTGATGCAATTTGCGCTACGTGGTCTGCCAGCCATTGCGGTTTTTTGGGTCTAGTGTGCAAATTCTAGAGCCGCGCGCAGCCAGAGCGGTCGGACCAGCGGGAGCGACATGCTGATCACGTACGAGATAAAATGTCACGTCGGGCTACTTCAGGCCATTGTTGAGTCTTAGAGTCGAATTACACTTGTTTCCAAGAAAACCACGCTGTCCACTACAGAGGCTGCACAGTTCGCGGTCTGCGGAGATTCAATCATTGCTAAGCCATACTATTTTG